GTCGCCCAAACATTTGGTAGTTCAGTAAAACAAATGGATGTAAAATTAACAAGTTGCAAAAGACTATGTCAAGTCTGTCAACCTTTTTATAAATGGTGGTGAACTTTGACCCTGACTTAAAATGCTGCATTGGAATTTTGTTTGCATCTATTTATGGAAATATACCATGTCACAAATACATTTTTATAAAGGACTCAATTAATACAAAAAAAAAAATATTAAACAGGTAATCCAGATTAATTTAATTAGAAAATGAGTTTAGTGGCGCTAAGTTAATCCTTACCAAATGTTTAAAGCATCAATCTGAAAGAATGTACAGATAACTATTTCTACATATGGCTTTATAAACCTAAATAAAATCCAAATGCAAAGCCTTTTTGTTTTCGTAAATGCTTGACACAAACTAAGAAGGTTAGAGCAGGAATGTTCACAGAGAATAATTATGTTTGTGCTTTACATTATACATGCAGATTTAAAAGTTGACACTGAAAGCTGTTCTTTACCTCTTTATCAGGTGGCGCATTGGTACGTTTTCTGCTCTGGTTCTTTTTATTGTTCTTTCGTTTCTTTCCTGGTTGGTTTTTCTTTGACGCATGCGATTCATCTTCGCCTTTTAGAGCAGTCTGGGACACAGAAAAAGAGAAGACCAAAGCAGTGGAGCAGTAGTCTTTACTTTTGCATGAGCACAAGCCAATGTATTTACCTTGAAAGATGCTACTGCTTTATCGTATGCCTTTATAAGTGCGGTGTCATCCCAGATGTCTGAATCGTCACTCTGAAAGACGACAAAAACATTAGTACCCATGCATTTTATCAAAGATTTTGGAATTATTTAATTATGTTTCAATCTAGACTCCTAAAACTGACCCTTATGATTCTGTATTGATTAGTAAACTCCTCTTGATTCATTATATACACAACTTTACATAAAATAACTTAAGATTTCACATTTAGCGCTATCAGGTGTAAGTAGTATTTCCATTTATTTCTTTTTCCCCTTTGTTACCCAACTTAGCTAGACTCAACGTTAGTTTCATATCTTAGCGTGTTAGCTTCACATAAAACAAATCTGCTGCAACCTGAAAATAATTCTAATGTGTTTTAATGTTTCTCTGAGAAATGTTCACAACTTGCCTGTCCAGTTCCACGGGCAAATAACACTTCTTTGCATCCATTTGCCATTTGCAGACGTTGGAGTCAGGATTCTGAGTTAGCTTTTTGCTAATTTAGCAACGTGCGTCGGAAATTGTGGAGTTCGGAAACACGTGACGTATATACTGCGCGACGGAACGGTTGGCTTGGCAACGATTGTAGCTTGACATATCCCGAAAACTCAAAGAGAAAACACACCAGTTAACGTATATTCTTTTCGAGACCGTCGTTGTTTTCTTTAGACAGTTTGAGTGAATAGTTATGATTGATTCTTCTGGTGCACACGTTGTTTTAGCTTCATCCAGCGACGAGAATCACCCACCAGAAAACATCACTGATGGGTGAGTGCTTTATTTGTCTGTATTGATATTTTGTCAATACACCTACATAATACCGCAGTTAATTAGCATTTCTCAATGAGCCATATTGTTTGCTTTTGCTTAAAATTGCGTCTCCCGTTTTCTTTTAGAAACAATAAAACGTTTTGGATGTCCACCGGGATGTTTCCTCAGGAGTTCATCATTCGCTTTCCTGAAACGACCAACATTTCTACCGTGATAATGGACAGCTACAACAGTATGAGTCTTAGCCTACTGCTTCTTCTCGCAAAAAAACTATTTATATCATATTTTGACAGCTGCATTTGTCTTAGGCTGTTTTTAAATGAAAGCATATATTTAGCCGTACATTGCATTTCAAAAGTATTCAAACTACCTCAACTTTTCACGTTATGCACGTACCAACATCTTTATTGTATTTTGATTCTATGACCAATGAAAATATGAAAAACATATCAAGCACTTATGATAAAACGTACTCTTATTGTCTTAAATTAAATCCTTTGCAAGCTTCTGTCTTCACATACTTTGCAATTAGTCCCCCTACTTGTAACTTATTGTTGTCATAATTTCAGCTGTTCTGGTAAGGCCTTAGAGGTTTGTTAGAGAACTTTAGTGATCATACAACACAATGAAGACCAGACCAAGGAAAACAACATAAATAAAGCAAAAGCCCGGAAAACTGTCAAAGATGAGTGAAAACTTTCAGTCAATGCAAAAAGCCCACTCAAAGATTAGGAATCCTGAAAGAAGGCTGAAATAACTATAGCTGCCACGGGAGATTTAAGAATTTCTCGAACGTGCATGAAAGAATGAAAGCAACACTTGAGGTGTGTTTTTCATGAGGGAATAACATTATAGCATGATATAAATCTCCAAAAACTCAATTCTACATAATGCCAACCATTCAAAGATATAAAAGATAAATTTAACTCTGATGAGGGAAAACATGCTATAGCCCCAGTTTACCAATTCAAAACATTTTTGATATATTTTTTCCTCCACTCGCTGAACATAGTTTGTGCCCTTTGATTATTTGGTTCTCCATTTCTTTTTTCTTTCTTTTTTTTTTTTTGTTCTGTTACAGTTAAGCATCTAAAGATAGAGAGGAATACCTCACCAAATGCGGCTGACTTTGAGCCTGTCACACAGGAAGGTGAGATGCACGTCTGTTCACATTTTTTTCTGTTTCACATTTATATTAGAAGTCCCAAAAAATTGTAACTGAGATTCAGCCATTCATTTTCTGTACAGAGTTGGAACACACCGAGGGACACCTCCAGTTGAATTCTATTTCAGTAGGTTGAAAGACTATTTTTTGTTGTTGCAAAAGCCTGTCATTTCACTATGTTCTACTAATGAAGCTTATTGTTTTATGTGTTTTTGTCCTTTAGCTAAAGGGCTGCAGTGCAACCCACCTACGTTTTATCATCACTGAGGGATACGACCACTTTGTGTCAGTACACAGAATCAGTGTGAAAACTTGATTAACTTTAATTGAGAAATTGTTGTAAATATAATACCCATTTATATTTATGTAAAAAGTATATCTGTGTTTTGCTGTTTGTTAGTGCATACATTTTAATCTGCATTGCAATCACGCTTAGTCTTATTGCAGTAGCACCAGCTGCAGACAAGACATATGGCTTTAAGCTGTGAGGCGTTTTTCTGTTCAGCCTCTAATTCCAAGATTAGCCTCAAACCATTTTTTCTGTTTTTAAGTTATGTAATGTTGTGGATTCGCTTCTAAAGCTTTTTGTCCTGCATTCAACTGTTCCTGCTAATTTCAGTAGCTGATAGTTGGCAACGCTTTGGAATAAAAGGCTTGGATTGCGTTGAATGGCAGACTTCATTACAAAGGGACTTTCTCTCCGTGTGAGAGATAGAGTTAATTAACTAATTTTCACCAGCAGGGGCTTAAATTGGTGTTCATGCTGTGTCCTCCCCACCTCCCCGAACAAATCCCCCCAAGGACAGGTTCTGACATCCCCAAAGACGTCAGAAATCATTGGAAATGTTGCTGGTGGTGGGGTGGGGGAACCAGATGGCTTCCCAGCCAACCAGCGAGTGTCCAGAAACTGCAGGGTTATTTACACAAACTAATCTACCCAACTCCCACTCTTATACCTCTTTCGCACGCACGCACGCATATAGACACAAATGCTTGCACACAAACACTTCTCCCTACCTCCATATCTAACCCCATTGCCATTTCAGCTTGTCAGGAGGCAAAGGCTTCGGCGGCATACGAGAGGACCCTTTGGGACTCCCTCTCCAATTACTTGCTGACTGCAGAGGAGCTTGGGAAATTTGCAAAGGCTGTGTTTGCTAAAGCTTGGTCTGCATGCAAGCCTCAGAGTAAACTAATAAAATATGAAATACGTGCCTGAATAACTAGCCCCCTGATATTTTGGAGCAACTAATTGCTCAGGGATACGGCAGGGTTATAGCACATTTGAGTATGTGAGTGCGCAGTGAGTAATGAGGGAGAGGTAGAAACTGATACAGTGTTATTGACTCATTCATTATTTACCAGCATAGAGTATTTACTATAATCTTAGAGGTGACTGTTTTGATGTGAAATAGATCAAACTCTGCTTTTATGTGGGTGCAGTATTTTTGTTTCTTGCCCAATGTTTGAAATTGTGAACGTGTTAAGTTTACTGGCAGTGCATATGAAAAGTGGGTATCCTTAATTTGAATGCTAAACAGGTCTGCAGCAGCGCCATTCTGTAACTAATGAATTCAGACCTTTTTTTGTGCTTAACTGTCAGCCGATCAGGAGAGTCACAGCAGGATATGAGCACATTATTATCATGTCACAGCAGGGCAGGCAGGGCCAAGTTATCACAGAGCGTCCTCTGACGGCTGCCTGTCCAATCACCCGGGGACATCTGCTACACCAAATGTCCATGAAAAGTGATGCTGATGGTGACCTTTCTAAATAATAATAATAATAAAAAACCTACTCCAAGCTTAACAGATATGAACTAATTTGAGTTTAGAAATATGACACAAATGAAAGTGCAATCAGAGTAAAAAGAAACAAAACACTCAAGCAAGGATTAACGTTCAGTAAATGCATCTGTGGAAATTCTGTTGGGTACTTTGAGGAAAAATACCCCCCCACCCCCTTCCTCCCGACTCTGTTATTTTCTTTCATGCCAAACCAATTTGTGTTATCTCTTCGGTGTGCACCCCTCCAGTTCCTCCATCCCCCCTTCCCTTCTTGTCACACGCACCAACAATGGGCCTTAATTTGATTTCAGTGTTGATTTGGTCCCATCAGCTCATTTATGACAGAAGCAGCGACACAACGAGCTGTTGTGTGAGAGAGGAAGCACTGTCAAAAAGGCAGAAATTACATAATTAGACGGAGAGGGAAACAGTATTCTTATTTAAGTTCCAAGAGCAATGGAGAATGGTAATGAGGGACTGACAGAGTGCAGTTGGAGAGAGCTTTGAGTAAGCTGACATTTAGCGTTTGCTTGACAAGTTGTTGTTTTTTTCCCCTCTCAAAATACATTCCCTATGTAGGAACAGTCTGCAATTTTTTAACAGTTTGTGAACCAAACCAGAAAACAAAATGTGGGTTATGAGGTCATATACACTTGACAGACTACAAAAATTGCTTTTTTGATAAGTCTGCGTTAGAAATGTGTCAAAATGTAGGTGAAGAATTAACTGGTTTGCTTAATCCATTCATTTTTCAGCCATATGTGACATGAAAGAAATTTTTAGTTACAAATTGGTTGAAAACGTTCATGCATGAACACTGCTCACCTTGTACTTTTGAACACGGAAGAAAAAGTAAAATTCTTCTTGTAAATGAAACATAGGGCAAGATAAGACAAGTAGACTGACTACAGACTGATTGACTGACAGAGAATTTTGTTTTTTTTAAGAAGCAACATCAAAGATCTTTTGAAACCTTTCATAATTCACCAGCACTTCCCCAATGCTGTCATTGTTTGCTGTAACTTGTGCGGCCTCTAATTAATTTGGAGATTTTCTTCCTTTAAATATATTTCTAACAGTGCTATTGGTATGAAGACACAAGAGAAAACAAAGATGCAGAAAGGCACCAGCTGATTTATATGTGTATGCAGAAAGCAATCCTTCAGTCCAAATAATGTGAAAGGGTTTCTCTGATGGGTTTGCCGAGATCAAGGCTAAGAAGTCTCTCATGAGCGGTACAGTCAAAGATCTCTCTCATGGCTTTCCCAACCTTAATGCTAAACAACCAACCAGTGGCTTTGGTTACAGAGATACGTCTAAACTCCTAAATTCTCCAATGAACATTGTTCGAACAGTAATCTACAGATGCAAAAAATACAATTTCACCATAATCACCGGGACATGCTTGGAGATGTGTTTGGGATTGAAATGACCATCCAAGAACACCATACCAACAGTGAAGGTTACACAGTTACAGTACTGCCAGCACCATATGGCATGTATGATACTAGGAGGCTTTATATAACTGAAGAAGGGATGAATGGAGAAATTTAATACAAGTTCCTTGATAAGTAGATGAAAGAGGGACATTTTTTTTTTTTTTTTTTGCCTGACAGTGATCCCAAACAAACAGCCAAGGAAGGTGTTGATTTCAGAAAAAGAAAATAAAGCCGCTAGAATGGCTCAGTCAGTCTGACTTGAATCCAAATGAAAAAGATCAGAGTGAGAGGAGAGACTTTCAGAAACTTTAAGATTTAAACGCAGTTGGTCAGGGTGAACTACTCAAAGTCGCACTTGAGCAATGCATGCTGCCAAAGTTTATCAAGAAAGGATTCTCTATTCCAGTTTTATTTAGTCAATTACATTGAGCGTGTTCAATATGTTGTCCTTGTGTCATTCAGCGACATCAACTTAATTTATTACTTTGATTTCTGTGTATCATGGTGTAAATTTTATGTTAGTAGACAATACATTTATCCTTTTCTGCTTTATACCCACAATAAGGCCTCGTATTTTAACACCACTGGTTTCCCTCAGTCATTTTCTTTGTGTGTAGTTGGACCTTTTTCTTATTTCATTTCTTTTTCATCTTTTCTCTTTTTTTTGTAGTGCTCACCTAATGTCAAAACCAGTTTTGTTTTCCGATGCTTGGCTTCACATTTCTGCTTTTATGTTTCTTGAACTACTGCCTGTGCAGCTCCTTTTGTTTTCATTAAAATCAAATGTATTTTTTGCCTCTACCTGTCTGGCGATGGAGTTGAGGGCTGCATTTGGGTTCGCCTCCGCACATGCCTTGACAGAGGCTTAGAATAAAGTGATGTGAAGGTCTTATCAGTCACTTCAGTTTCTCAGCCAGTGGTCACAGCACCTCAGTTCCAATAAATTTGTCTGACTCTAAATCTCCCCTGACTTTCAGAGGTAATGTAAGACTCTGGTGGGTAGCAAAGCAATCTAAACTATCCCTTTTAAACAGATTACTAACACTGTGCGTGCCTATTCGTCTTTCAGTGGTCCCCTGAGTGTGAAGTGGATGGAGAGGGAGCGCTGTGTACGCATTCGATGAGAACCTGGACTAATAGTTAGTGAAAAATATTTTCCCCTTCAACTAAAATCAACAGAATTTTAGTTGAGACAAAAAAAAAAAAAGAGACAACGAAAGATTATGGATGTTGGGGTCTTGTACTGCAGACCCCTCAGACCACTGTATCACCAAATAATGTACTGTGGAAAAGTATTCAGTGTTCTCAAACATTTTTACATTTTGTTTCGATAAAACCACACGCCTTGTGTAGTTAGAGCAAATTTTGATAGTCCAACAAACAGTAGTGCAACTCCAACTTCTACAACTCCTCTGAAGTTTCCATGTCCACTTTGACTCTTGTTATGAATAATGCATTTTTAATAAACTGAATTGGGATTTCATTTAGTTCTATAACAGAGTCTACCCTCCATCACTATCTAGACTCATCTGGTCTCCGTTGATAGCAACATTTACTTTAAAATTACAGTGTAGAGTCCACCTCCATATACCTGAAGGCGTGTAAATTCAAACCTGGCTATATCTCCTGACAATGTTCTTAGGAAATGTATAGGTTCGAAATGTGAAGAAAGTACATTTGAAGAAATCTTCTCACTCATGGTTGTTGAAGTTAGAAAACCGAAATAATTTTAAAATAGTTTTTATAATCCTAACTGTGAAGTTCTGTCACATTTGATGTCAGACAATCAGGAATTTATTCAGGTTATGAAAATATCTGGTTTCAGCTGTAAATATGTCCTATGAGATGTTCACACAAATAAACATCTTTATTGGCAAGATAAATATACTAAACACTGAAATGCTGTAAGAAAGGTTACATTTTACAAGATCTAAAGACTGACAATAATATATTCAATTTGCCGGTTTTTTACAAATACAAGTATTAAATTTTTAGGGTGAAAACACACGACTTATTAAAGGTGACTAAAACATGTATTTTAGGTCAATACTGTTTACAGCACATTAGTGAAATAAAGGGAAGCATTTGCAGATATGTGTGCTTATTTGAAAAGACTGTACAGTTCAAACTTTTTTGCTTAAAAGTGAAAATGGGGGAAATATACAGTGAGAGACAGATCAAGATTAATCAGTGCTAATTTATAACACAAGACCTCGTTGTCTTACTGTCATGGAACATGTCATGGAAAATGATCATGATTACTCCATGGTTCTATAAGACAATACTATTAACATACAAACACTTTCTCTCAACTAGTACGTCAAATTAAAACCACAATTGTTCTTGTTGGACAGAATAATTAAAAAAAAATAATCAAATTTAAACATAACAAATCTATAATTTACTTTTAAACAAGAACAATGAGATAATCAATAACTATTCTCAGTAGCATTGATTATGCTATAATACCCACATTTGAATAAATAAGCTAAGCTATAAAAAAAACAGTCAGTGCTTGAAGTAAGTGTCAAACTGTGTTTGTGTTTTTAGAAAAGATACAAATGGCTGCTTCTCTCAAATCTCTGTGGCAATAACATCCTCATAAGTTTGTAACCCTGCACTGTATCTGAGGTCCAAGCCCAGCTCTGTTCGGCTCTCCAGCTCGGCCGTCAGCTCCTTCAGGATCCTCTCCAGGTCTTTGTTCTTCTTGTGCATCTGCAGGTAATTGATCTGGAGCTGCTTCTGGTATTTGATCACCCTGTCTTTCTCCTGGTTCCAAGTCTGCCTCTCCAGCTCAAAGCTGCTGACCATTTTCCCCTGAGCATTCTTCTCCTCTCTGAGCTCCTGCTTCAGTCTCTCCACTTCTCTTTGGAGTGAGCCGGTGAAAATGCACTTCTTGTTCTCTGACCCTCGGACCTGGTCAAGGGAGTCTAACTCCTGGATTGGATTTTTAAGTTCAGTGCTTTTCTGCAGCTTCTGCTCTTCAGCTGCAACAAGATCCTGTTTGACTTGCTGAATGTCTTGCTCCAGTTTGCCAACGTTGTCTCTCAGAAAATCAGCCTCAACCTTTTTGCGCTGAAGTTCATTTTGGTACACCTAAGCAAAAAGGGAAAAACACAGCTAGAAGATTATTATCATTTCTTTTGTTAGCTAATAATTGTTGAACCTAATAAAGGTTCCCTTAAATTTAGAAGTGAGGATGGTATTTATGTATCACAACATGAAAATTAAAAAAAAAAAAAGAAAATCCTATTTTGGCAGGTTACAGTCAGATTCAGGAGTAGGAAAGTGTACTTTTTATGAACATCTGTTCTATAATACAACTGTACTAACCTCAACCTCTCTGGTGCATGACTGGAGTTTGTCTTCATAGTCCTTGTTCTGTTGCTCGAGCCTCTCCACTTTTGCTGTGTTTTCCTTTAGTGATGCTTTGAGACTTACAATCTCATTTAGCTTGTGGCTCACGTCCGCTTGGCAGTCCCTCAGTTGCTGCTTCAATAAAGAGATTTCTCCTGACTTCTGACACACCTACATTTCAACAGAGATGATGGCGATAATAAAAGAAGGAAGTTGCAGTTTCTATTTTGAACATTTGAATTTGGAAGACAATGGAGAATAGTTGAAGCTTTTCCTTAAACTGCAGCATATTTTAGTAGTGGCAAGGTATATTCTGCACAATTGTAGCTCAATAATATTGTAACTTTAACAGTATATTGAACAATAAAAAATATATCCTGTCCAATCAAATTTTTGTATATGTGTGCCTAATCTGCCCAGGTCCTTCAAAATTGGTACAGCAGTCCTTTGTTCAGCAAGCTTCTTTTTTGGCACAGTTGGCTGTAGTATATACAGGTGCTGGTCATAAAATTAGAATATTGTGATAAAGTTCATTATTTTCCTTAATGTCATAATAAAAATTAAATTGTCATATATTTTAGATTCATTGCACACCAACTGAAATATTTCTTGTCTTTTATTGTTTTAATTTTGATGATTTTGGCAAACAGCTCATGAAAACCCAAAATCCCCGTCTCAAAAAATTAGCATATTATGAAAAGGTTCTCTGAACGAGCAATAAAAATCATCTGAATCAACAAAGTAACTCTAAACACCTGAAAAAGATTCCTGAGGCCTTTAAAAACTCCCAGCCTGGTTTATTACTCAAAACCGCAATCATGTGTCAGACTGCTGACCTGACTGCTGTCCAGAAGGCCATCTGGACAGCCTCAAGCAAGAGGGTGAGAAACAGAAAGAAATTTCTGAACGAATCGGCTGTTCCTAGAGTGTTGTATCAAGGCACGTCAGTGGGAAGTCAGTAGGAAGGAAAAAGTGTGGCAGAAAACGCTGCACAGCGAGAAGAGGTGACCGGCCCCTGAGGAAGATTGTGGAGAAGGGCCGATTCCAGACCCAAAGGACAGTCTTTTATTTTGTATTCACCAACATGGTTCTCGGTTCAAGACAATACAGTTTGGAGTCAGTAGGGGGCTCCTTAATGGCTGTGGTAGACTCTGGTGATGCTCATTTCCACACTGTGTCTGTCCTTGTTTTTACGTCTGTAAATGTTCCCAAACTACCAAATTTCACTGTCTTGTGTATTCACTTTATTTCAGCTAACTCGACAGCAGTGCACAGCAACAGGTGAGGAAGGCGCCATCCTACGTTACTATATGCTGCATACGCAAAAATCTCTGGTCCTCACAGAAGTTTACTCAGTCATGGTTTTCTTTAAACCTTGGTTCTTGCAACTAGCCTATGGCTACAGCCATATCAGCTGAAGTGGCTACATATGCCACTGACCTCCCACTGGGTTTCCTCAAGTGTTGGCACGAGTTGGGTGCTCTCTTTCTCATATGACCTCAGTCTGAGTTCAACGAGGTCCTTCTCTCGCGTGAGCTTCGAGAGATCTTCCTGGAGCTTTCCATTTTCTTTCTGCAGACAAACACAATTCCCACTTAACAATTTCCTGCAGGATATACGCCTCCCAGTGCTTTGTTTCTCAAATAAATCAATGCATCATTTGCTGCATCATAACTAGAATTGTGGATGAGTAGAAGGATGAGGCTTAAATAGCAGAGCTGAGGAGTCAGGTTGGAGCTGACCTGGAGGTAGCAAACTTGCAGTTGAAGAGCCTGGTGGGTTTTTGCATTCATCTGAGACACTTCTCGCAGCTGTGTGGTGCACCGCTGCTTCAGTCCGTCCATCTCCTCTGCGCAGAACTTTTGTCTCTCCTCAAACAAATGACACGTTTCTGCCTCCTTCAACTCTAAACTCACCTGTTGTGAAGTTAAACAGTCAGAAATGAATCGCTCACAGGCTTATTTTGATCATGCTGGGTGCTTCTTTCATTAAGTTTAAGTACCTGCAGCTCCTGAAGTTCATTTTCCCTCTCCAGCAGTCTCTGTTCTAGATGCTCAATCAGCAACTCATCTGTCGTTATGGGGGACCGGATCCCACCTGCCGTTTCTGAAAGAGTTCTTGGTTCGTCTGCAGACAGTGGGGAGCCAGCATCCTCATTAGCCTTAGAAGCCAACACACTGCTGCTTAAACAAGCCCTGTAACTGCTTTCGAGGTTTGTGTTATTTCCATTGACCCATGGAGGGAAATTGGGCTGTTGTCCTTTGCAGAGGCTGTTTAGCAGACCTGAGCTCCCATCATTCTGACTGACAAGGCCTGTGGAGGCTCTTAGACTGCCACTGGTGCTGTGGGTAGGGAGGCTAGACATTGAGTTACGCCCAGAGTCAGAGAGAGTTCCTGAAAGGCAGAAATTACATCACAATTATTTCTTGTCATTTAAATTTAGGGCAACGTTTTACCAGAAGGCTGACAAAAACCTAAGGGGTCTTGTTTGTGTCCAACATTCGGAGTACTTGCTTTCCTCATGGGACAGAGGACGTGGCCAGTCTCTGTGGATGAAGCCGTCGTTGTGTTCACCGACTTGAAGGCGGTGGTATGGACGAGCGATTTCTCAGCAGGAGGCTGGAAGAGTAAAAGAATTCCTCTTAGCTGACAGCACAACAAATAGGATGCCATGTTAGAGAAGATTTGATAAATGACGCTCTTATCCTTCAAGCTAAAGAGTTTTTAAACTTCTTCTAATAGAGTTATTTTCAGAAGCTGGGTCCAATCGAGTAAAATAATGTTCTTTTTTTGCCTTTCATTGTGTCATCTCACATCAGAAATGGAACCAGTGATGCATGGAGACCTGCTGTACTGTAGACTGACTCTTATGTGAGCCACACAGTTATAACTGTAAGTAAATTTCTTTGTATTAACTAAAGAAGTGAAAACTCCTTTTTTGGAGCGAACCTATAGTCCACATGCCCCGTCTGTGCATTTAAAGGCTGTCACCAGCAGTACCACAGCACCATACCTCCCCTCCTGCTCTTTCTGTACTCCTCTCCTCCCCTCTGCAGCCTACGTCTCCCCTCCATATGCTGTCTGAGCGAAGATGAATAGCCCCTCTCCATGATATTAATAATATGAGCTATTGCTGAAGTGTAAGAGGCAAGGCTTGTGAGCTCAGCATTCCTTCTCACTGACTTCATGGCTGGGATGCCTTTTTGTGGTTTTTCTTTCAAACTGTCAAATTCTCCCCAACCCTCGATCTCTCTCTTTCTCTCTCTTATCCCCTTTTGTCTGTACTGTTCGTCCCCCAAGGAATAAAGACATATTGAGGAAAATGCTTTTGCTTATGTATTCCTGGCACAGAAAGTGCCTTTCTGAGAAGATCAGGGCATTCTTAGGTCATTAATCTAGATGATTAAAACACTATAAAGATCTAAGATAGGCTATGAGAAATGTCTGTTATTTATTAATTATTATAGGGCCTTGTGTTTATTTTTTCATTCTCCACATGACTGCATGACTTGTGGAAATTCTAGGAATATGTTTTTTAGAAATCGAGTCAGATGATTTGTACCGTTCTTAAGTCTGAATGCTAACTATTAGGCTAATAATAGCTAGCTGCAGCTGAGTGTAACAATTAACATTTGACTGAATTAGCCCTTTTTATAGCAACAATTTGCCGGGTCAGTGTATTGCAGGAGACCTCAAGTGGAACTTGAGAGCTTACTTGAGAGCCATTGGGAAAATGCACATAACAGGTAGGCTCAAAAACTATAGAATATTTTTTTGCTGGTCCAAAGGAGATTTTTACATAGACTGTCTTAGAAGAAAATTATTTAGCAAGTTTTTTTTTTAAACTATCTTTAATATTTGGAACTTTGGATGCTTTTAAACCTGTACATGTGGTGCACCTAAAAATGCCACCACATTATTTTGGTTGTTTTATGATTTTTGAAATATTTTCATGTATAATTTATTCTTTTTTTTTTTTTTTCAAAAATGAACAAATTATATTTTGTTTTCATTTCGGGATTTTAATCTGCCTGCATCTATAGTGCTAGCTTTCCTGTGGTTGGGATCGGAGTAGTAATGGCGAAGCGGAACCTTTGTTTGGGGGGCGTTGCTTCCGGGTTGGTTTTGGGGCGGAGTTCCGGATTTACCTCCAACGCAATCTGGATGCTAAAGGCAGTGCTTCAGTTGTCATTGCTGACTTCTATTTTATTATCCTTCAGGTCAGTAGACGGTGGAAACACACCAGAAATACTCTGTAAGATGTTTACCTCTTATCTGACCAGTATATAGCACTGTGTTGTGCTTTTTGTGCACCGTTTTGCCAATAGTTGCCAGTTTTATCAGGCGAGGGTTAAGTTGGAGGTATGCCAGCCCGCGCTGGGAAGGTCACACGAGGGAAGGTGATTAGAAGGCCGTGATATCTTATTAACACCGAGTTTTAAGAGTTTTATTTTGCTTTTGTTTGAATAATATTCAGTGAAAGTTGCTTGTTGACTCATAAAGTAGCTCGGAGCATGAGAGTAAAGTGAGTCCAGCCAAAGTTAAAGGCAGATAAACTATTTGTTCATGAAGTGTGGGAATTGAGGTTTAAGGTGAAACAATGCTAAGTTAAATTCTGTATTTGTTTTGTAAGTCTTGTAATTCTACTTTTGATCAGTATTCAGTTAAAATCAGTATGGATTTTAATGCTTGTGCCAGTTAATGCAGAGTTAAATGCAGTAAAGCTTTAAAACAGTTGATTCATCCTGTTTGACACTATACCTTGGTTGCCTTCATCTAAGTGAAGGATGGAAATGTGAAAAGGATAATGTGTGAAGTTAATTATTACTTGTGAGAAAAGTAAGTCAGGTTTATAAGACAGTGGTTATATAAAACATTAATACTAAACACTGTAAAATATTTGTTAACAAATAAAGAAAAACGCAATCTGGATGCTAATGGCAGCGCTTCGGTCATCATTGCTGACTTCTATTTTATTATCCTTCAGAATGTGCTCATTACTGTTATAGCAGTCCTGACACTCGGGGAACATACAAATGTGTCAAATGTAGCAGGGTTTGAATTTTGAATTGGTGCAACTGAGAATGACAGTTTGCTTACATTTTATAACTGAGATTAAGGCTTCGTAATGATCTGCCTACAACACTGACTTAGTTATCATCCAGCTCCTTTGGCAAATTTTGTAGTGTGACTGGACTCACTGCCCATTTAAAAGACCTCATTGTGTTTTCCAGCCTGATCTCTTAAGCAACACTTTCTTATCTTATTCTTTCCTCATGAAGCCATCTACTTTGTGAAGTACAACATTACACCCGGCAGTGAAACACTCTCACATGATGCTGCCAATCCCTAAATTTTACAGTTGGGATGGTGTTTTCAGGCTTGAAAGCAACCGTTCCCTTTTTTTCTCCAGATATAATGTTTAAAACGGTAAAACACTTCCATTTTAGATTTATCAGACCAGGATGTTTCTCTAAAAATTATAGAATTTCTTCCCAAGCAAACTTGCAAACTTTGATCTGATTTATGTTGTTTTTGAATATGTGGCCTTTCAGCTCATCTCAGTACAAGACTTGTTTTACTGTGGCTAATGACTCTCTTACCAACTTTAGTGAGCATCTTCAACAGGACTTTTGAATTTGTTTTGTGCGTGATACCCACATTCACTAAAATACATTCATCTCTGGGACACAGAACCCATTTCCTTCCTGAACAATATACACTTTATTGCTAAAACCATTCATGCACCCATCCAAATAATTTAATTCAGGTATTACAACCAGCTTTATAGCCACAGGTGAATAAAATTCTGCACCTATGTATGCTCTGCTCTCAAAATACATCTGTGAAAGAGTGGCTTACTCGCAGGAGCTCAGTTAATTCAAGCATGGTACAGTGATGGGATGTCATCTGTGAAACAGGTCCTTTCATTAAGTTTCCTCTCTGAAATCCCATGGTCTGATGTTTGTGGTATCATGAACAAAGCAAGCGTCAAGTACAGCATAGAAAAATCACAGAGTGGGGAGTAGCACTGCATAGTGTGCGGAAGTCACCAACTGTCTTCAAAGTCAAAACTTAAATGCAATGCAAAGTGTTGGATGCATTAGTATAAAGCTTGAAGGCTCTATACTCTAGAGACCTGATCTACATATTGACAAATCATGTTTCCTTGTCTTGCAGTCCAATAGATGAGGCTTGCCAATATATTTTGGACTGCATTTTGCCAACTGTAAAGTTTGGTAGACAAAGGATTGTGATTTTGTGTGCTTGGCCCGATGTTGTTGTACACTGAGATCGTAGTGTACAACACGATAGTTTTATGCTCCTGATTATGTGGGAACAGTTTGGGAATCATCCCTTTCTGCACCAACACAGCTATCCACAGTTCATGTGGCCTTAAAGCCTTTGCATTAAGAATGTGATGATGGTAATGTCCAGGTGTGTATGGGGAGCAGCGACCTATATACTCACACACACATACATATATAATTACAGTGATGCTTCCACCACCACCCCTCCCAATCCCTGGCACCCCACCCCCCCACACAGACTCTCATTCCCCCAGGTGGGTTGGTGGCTGTTCATCTTAAGCTCGGCGCCCCTACCAGAGGCCTCGGAGCTTGAGTGTCCTTTGCAGTCTCTTTGGGGGTCACTGCCCTGAGTTTTGAAACTGCAAGATAAGAGGTTTGTTTTTGCATGTGTGCATAACATCTGCAGCCTCATTAAACATAAGGTTTTGCTGATTGGTTTTCAAGTATGAACCTTTCAAGGTGGTAGAGAACATTTGTGCTAGCCATGCTGCTTTCTTTAGTTGTCACTGAAAATCATTGAATGCTTCACGGATTGGCATGTAAAAGTTCAGGTAAAGTATTTTTTTTTTTTTTTTTTTTTTAATCAATGAACATGCAGGATAATTCCAAACTCACCCTCTCTAAAATCTTTCCTGGCATGAACAGCAGTTTTGGTTGCGATCGTCCATCAGAGTCCTTGTCTCTACTCGCAACATCTTCCAATGATCTCTCTCTGTGGTGCGTAGACCTCGGTTTATGGTTCACCTTATGTCACACAAAAACATTTCCCCTAAAACTGATGTTTCTGCACATTCCGTACAAGGAATTCTCACTCATACTTACAGTATCTTACCTTAATGTAAAAGAAATCTTCACTTCTTCCTGACCTAGAGTGGGAGAGGCCTCTGGAGTGATGAGTGGTGGAAGAGGAACTCTGAGCAAAGCCACACTTCAGTAAGCCATCAAGATTGCACCCTCCACTCTTCCTGTGAGTATTTGTCCCCTCCTTTAACCGATAGTCAGAAGCCTTGCAGTGCTTGCTGTTCAGACTGTTTCCAGCAACAAGGCTGCTGACGCTACCCATGGTCTTGCAAGCACAGGTGTCGACAGGTCCAGATGGAAAACTTACAAAGAACTGTATGGGTGACACGTCTCATGACACCAGGAAATTTCTGACATTGGCCTCATCTGGGAGACAGAAAAACAAGACAAAAAACAATCAAGATGTAATATGTCTATGCTTTGTTACATGCTTAAAAACAATTTCTAACAAAATGAAAATAATAGTATTCTTTAGTTTTTCTAGGTTTATGAAAGGTGTTTGAAGGTTTTTCTTTGGTCTTTGGATTTCTTTTTTTTCATAAATGTTCTGTACAATTCAATTTGGGCTTAAAAGGCAAGAAATTTGTACAAAACATTAGTTGTCAGAGCTAACAAACTACCTACTGCACATAAAAGCCTCTGAAAATCATGACTTTAAGAAGTAGTTGAAAAAAATCCATCAGAGACTTGAAACAGGACCTGACAGATGCCTCATCCTTTAGTTAATCGCCCCCTCCGGGAGAGATTTTGGTTTGAGATCTAATACATATTTTTCTACGGATTTATTGGAAGGGATTATGTTGTACTTGTGAAAGGTTGTTCATAACAATATAAAAGTTGTTCCTTGCTAAATTATCTGTTGTATCTACTTTGTGCAGACACCAAACTGGCTCATTCTTTGAGTTTAGGTACATTTTTAATCTTGATTGTTTCAAAAGACAGAGTTACAGTTTTGCACAGGTGAGTACATACTATACACTCCTGTGGGACATAAAAACTTTATAGTTACAGTTTAATCACTGTTTGTAACCATCAACAAGGTCCTGGCATTGTTCTGACTGATATTTGCCCATTCTTTTTTATCAGAGATGATAAAAAAGGTTCCTCTCAGATTAGCTGAGAGGAACCAAGCTATTAAAAGTGATTCATACATTTTCCAAAATGTTGCATTTTGGAAGCTATTCCAGAAGGTTAGTATTACCTTGTATGTCCATTTCTGAAACTGTTTTGATGATGGTGTGGGATCATTTTCCTGCAACCAACTGTAGCCAAGTTTCCACCATCTGACCAAAAACTGCCCCTTCAGATAAGATTATTTTGATTTGGATGTCCAAGAACAACAAACATCCAATCAACAGACATCTTTATTAAAAACATCATTATTCACAGTGAACAGAGTTTAACATCAGCAAAGGTTTAGAGTAAAGGTCTCCAAGTCCAATAATTGAGAGCCACTGTCCTGCAACATTTAGTTGCACCCCTGGTCCAATACACTTGATTCAAATAAATGGTTGATTATCTGGCCTCTACAGAACTTGATGACTTTCTGAGGGAGTAATCCAGCCTGTTAATCTCACTTATGTTGAACCAAGACTGCATTTCAAAGTTGTTTTACTCTTGGCTCATAAGTGCTATGCTTGAAGACTCTTGGCTTCAAGCATAGCACCATCTAAGCTGAATTCTCATCAGCTTAAAGGGTGCTGATGAAGAAATCGCCAATGTCAACAACAGACTCAAAATTTGCAATTATCCACAAGGAAAATACAAACAATTTCTGGAAAGATTTTCTATGATCAAATGAGACAAAGATTCACCTCCTTAGTCACAATAACAATAAAAATATTTTGAGGAATCAAGCTGAGTCATGGACATCATGGACCTGGCTGACATTAAGCTTCTGGAAGGCTCTGACCCCATAATGCCCTATTGAACCTTCTTGAAATTTTAAAGAATTCATGGCAGGAAACAAACCAGTCCTGCCGTTCACTGAAGTTGTATTTTGTACAGTCAGTCTTCCAAAGAACAGGAATACAGCAATTAAATCATTAAAATTCCTTACATACAGTAACAGTAACACCAATAATAAGCAAATGTTAATGTCAGTGCAGAACTGTTTTAAAAGAACACCAAAAACCATTTTTCTGAAAATGTTTAGGTAATCAAAAACATCTAGATTAAAAACATTCAAATATAGAGGCTAAAGAACACAGTTAAACAAGATGAGTACTGGACCTGTCAACAGAAGATTTTCTTCCTTATTGACCAAAGCTCTACTTTTCTCTTCATGTTTTTTTTTTTTTGTAATTTCATAGTATTTGCTGCTATTTAATGTTGAAGCATTTATTGAGGAAACAGATGTGCTTGGATTTGCATAACAAACTGGCTGAAAATAGTCCACATTGGCGTTTTGCCTAGATTTGTACACCTAGATTCAACTTGCTGCTGTAGAATTTGACAAATAACCTTTTGGATGACCTCCCTGAAAACAAACTGGCCGCTAAGCTAGGCACCATCAACTCAATAGTTGGCTGTAGCTTCCATCTGAATGACTTCTGGCAATGGTAAAACATCAGATATATTTTTTTGTTACTTATATCAATATACATTGATGAGATGTTGGCAAATCTCTTAAAAAAGATTGCTCTATATGTATATATCATATGGAAATGTACGTTTAATGCAGTTTTAAGGCATAATTATCAAACCTAAAAATATAACTCATTCACACTAACTCTTCAAACTAAATTAAGCTTGTAACCAAATCTGCGTCTGTATTTTTTGCTTAGTTTACCAACCCATTTATCCATTGAATTGCCATCATTACTATTCATGCTGTCTCACTCTTTCCACCTCCTTTTGCAAAGCAAACAGATCACAGATGTTACTATCATGATCTCTAACCCACAGGGGAGAAGTCAGCTCTGTGGGTGAGCTCTCGTGGCAAAGGGCTTCTCACTGCCTGATCTCTGCTCTTTGAACCACCTGGTCCTCTGGCTTTAAGTATTTTATAATAGCCACAACAACAAAGCACGGAACATATTTGTGTACACTTTATTTGACACGGGTTGCAACCCAACAGCTTTCACTGTCCACTTTCCCGAGCACGGTGTGAGAAGGAAAGTCTTGAACAAAGGCACAAAGAGAGCTGATGAAGACTTTTATCATCCCGAAACAAAAGGAGGTGAAAGATGTAACGACAAACCTCACGTGTCATGATGAGGAGAATCACAGCACCATCAGCAAGAGTGTGTAGTAGAAACTATAAAAAAAATTCAGTGGAAGTGAAAGAAAAGTACAGAAAATTTCAATATATTCTAGAAGAAAAGAAAATGGAAAAAAAAAAAAAAAGAACATGCTCAGTCACTGTAGATAGTTAAAATTATGACCTGCACAAATATACTGGAAAACAGTCTTCCCTGTCACTCTGGTAAACAGTCTCTGACATGGCTATGTCTTACTGAGCCTGTGTGCTACTAAATCCACAGACCCCACTATCACTCTCAGATATCAGCAACCGGCCCTGACAATGGACCGGTGTAATGAAACAATAGATTTTACTTACTGCCAGGCCAAACTAAGCACCCATATCTTGCCAAGCCCCTACAGAGTCATCCATCCAGTCCTGAAGGAAACAAGCAGCCAGGCATGTGTGCATGTATGAATGGACGAGGTGCAAATACAAACACTACCACCCTGGCCAGGAGGGTCTGCTAACCATCCAGATAAAAGAGGGTGGGTCTTCCAGCTTGTCTAGTCAGCTTGTGCCGAGTTTTGCATCATAACTGATATGGAAATTCAGTTGTGTATCTGTGTGCACCAAAACGAGAGTGTGTGAGAGATAGAGACCTCCCACTCCTCCCTGGGGAGCTGGTGTGTAACATGTGCTCCCATAGAACCGGCGTGTGCCGCTCAAGTGATTAACTCCCAGCTTTCACAAAGGATCTTTTACACCCTCAGTGCAACCCCCCCCACACACACGTTCTCTCTGCATACTGCCCCGTAAGTGCGTTAGTGCATCGACTAACTGTGTAATAACCATTCATTCCTCCCTCTCCCTCACCCTGTTAGTCCCTCCCTCCACCCATCCATCCCACTTGCTGCCCTGCACCCACCCTGAACAAACAGTTCATCAGAAGGAGGAAAAAAAGGCGCTTGCCCTCTATCTTTTCGCTCTTTGTCTGCTGAAGTGTGCTGTCTTTGTGTAAGCCCTTGTGCGGTATTTGATGCATTCTCTCCCCTAACAGCAGAACCGTATTTGAATGTTAAATAAATCACTACTACTGAAAATTACTACTGTTGTACTACTGGGTTTTTAGACACTTTTTTGTGTCTCCACAAGTTCAACACAGACTAAACTCTTGGTACAGCGAAAGTATAATGCAATCAAAACAGTAAAACATAGAATGAACAGCACCCCTATGAAAAAAAGAAAACCACCCTCCATTTTTGTAACTCAGATAAGTTAGCAAAAATACATTTGTATTTAAAAGATTTGTGGAGAATTGAGTAAAATCAACTGTTTTAGCTTACCATCATTTTATAAAGTTATTCTCTTTCCAACAACATACCCGTAGCTTTGATTATTTCATGCATGTTTGAGAAATTCTAAAATCTCCCATAGCAACCATTTGGGGATGTCTAAACACTTGGTCTCACTGAGCACCACATTTTCCACACTGCCTCTCCTTACAGAGCACCTCTTCCCTGCAACTCTCCCTCATCGCTCCTTCAGACTAGCGCCAGCAGCAATTAGCACCTGGTGGAACTGTGCATCCGCTGAGTTCATCATATGAAGTACTTCTCTGTGCAATTCAGGTAAGAACGTTTGTAAATACTTAATGGCGAAACACTGTTGTGAGGATGTGCTGAAGGACTGACAGAAAAAGCAGGAGCTTCTTAAAGAGACAGATACCCAGTTTCAAGGCGTGAAATTGCAAATTTAAACTATACACTAAAACACTCTTTTAAGTTGAGCATAGTGAATTGCACTAAAGTTTCTGTGATGTTACATCAGACGGTCTGAAGCCTTGATTCATAAAATGTTTGCAGAATCTTTTGACCCACTTTTTGAGTACTCTCCAGTGTCTCTACTTCAGTCTTTCTCAGCTGTACTCTTCACTCACCCTTTCAGCTGGCTGCACTTGTTCTGCGATCAGTCCTATTGAAGCCTGTTAGTCTGAACAGTAGCACTTCCACTCACTTGCTTTTCACAGGTAGTTGTTTTCACATCTATTTGATGCAAATATATACTTGATTTTGTTTTTCTAGGATTCCAGTTTTTTACCTGATAACAATAGGTTTGAGGTACCAGATTTCAAGGGGCATTGTTTGATTCAGGAACTCTAGTGAAGTGGGGATGCGTGTATTTATGTATGTGTGGGCGCTTGCATATATCTAATCTCATATCTGACTGGCTCCAGGTCTGTCTTTGTCTGGACAAAAGAGATTTGTGTTCACTGAATATCTATGTGATTGTGAGCAGAGGAGGGACTGTGTGCATGAAAGTGTGTGTGTTGGGGGCAGCATGGGTGGGGGTGTCGACCTTGCTTTTCGAGCTGCAGCTGATCTGCCTGACACAAAATCCTGAACCCCCCCTCAAACACCTCCATAAGAATAGATGACAATAGACCCTCTGCTAGCCAATGAAAGACACACACTGTCACGCAGCATGGCCAATCGATTAACACAGACAGTAATAGGCAGTAGTGTTAGGCAGTAGTGTGTTAGAAAGTTTGTGGATTTATACCTGTCTAACAATGACCATAAAAATCTGTTGTCACTGTACCTCTGTACATCACCGCTATGCCAGATGGCATTGCTTTAATTCACACTGTCTGTATGGTAATTTCTAACAGATGCATGTATAATCTATCTAGTTCAATGTCTGTTTTTTTAGGTCATTCTCAGTTTATTGTTCTTTGTGTATGCCTGCTGTCTCAAGCATGTCTTGAACTTCATGCAACAGTTGTTTTGAATTAAAGTCCAAATTTATAGGCTTAATCTACTTTTGTAGTTAAACTAAAATATTTTCGTTTTATGGAAATATCTTTACTGAACATTGCAGACTGAAAACCTCAAGCAAATTCAGACAAAATTGCCGTTTTGCATGATTCTGAAAACTGACCCATGCTGGTTCAATCAAGGACAAGTATTGGATCAGGTTCCCAATCAAGACAACGTTAAGTGGTTGAAGTCTTCCCGACTAAACTCGTGTCCTGATGCCTGTAGTTGGTCTCCCGTCTGTCTGTGAAATTTATGAGGCCAGGAGAACAGTTTTTTTTATCCTAGTTAATTCCACACAAGAAAACGCAGTGAAAGGTGTTTTTGATTAAATTAGCGTTAGCTTCCCACTTTATTAAACTGCTCCACATGATAACATTGTCAACTGGAGCAAGACCGGAGTTTGTTGAATAGTGTGGATAAAGATATGGGGATTGTTACCGAAATGCCCATATCTTTAAACATACAGTGTTGGCCCACCCTTTTGCTGCTACAACAGATTAAACTGTTTCACTATGTCTACAAAGTTTACAAGTATGTCATGGTCATTTTTGATATTTCTTTGAAAAGAGCATTTGTGAGGTCAGACATTGATGTTGGGTGAGAAAGTCTTGCTTGCTGTCTAACTACTTTAATTCATCCAAAAAGCCTCCTTTAGGTTGAAGTCTGGGCTCTGTGTTGACCATTCAACTTCCTCCACACAAAACCTTCTGTTGGGGCAAAAAAATTGGATCCATATCACATAGAAAAAAATCCTGATAAGCCTAAAAATTTCAGTTTCATTTTTTATCATTCTTGAATTTCAGATTTGACCTTTGCGACAGCCATCTCCCTTTAGCAACCCTAGAACTGCCTTTCACTTTACATGGGTACAAATTTATTTAGAAAAACAATTTAAAGTTGATTGATTTTCCATTAATGTTACAGAAAAAGCCACTTTCCCTCATATAATATATGAGAAAATTCTACAAAATTGAAACTGTCATTTACTCTTCTTTCAAAATGTGCTGTCAATTTTAGCTTCCCAGGTGGAAGAATAAAACATAATTAATTTATATATTTTATAAACATATTGAATGAATAACAAATTTTAAATCAATTATTTAATGACCAAATATCTGAATAGCTTAATAAACAGTGTTCTACTAATATTAGACTGCTGTACAGTCGCATACAAAATGCTGCACATGTTCCTCCTGTTGTGATGTAACACATTAGATAACTACAATCAATCTGTTGTTCACACAAACTAACTAATGATTTACAGGTACTACAGAACCTTCCCCCAGAAGGCACGACAGCACAAACTCAATTAAAAACTTAAAATTAGAAGAACAGGAAGCAGCTCATGTATGACAACAGAAAGGATACAACGCTGGAGACTGAAGGGCTGCTTGGTTGAATTATTGAGAGCTAATACTATCTTTTTCTGTCATTCTCAATAGCCTGTCAAGGTCTGACTGTCTCTCTTTCTCTTTTTTTGTTTCTCTCTCTCTCTCTTTCTGTTTCTGTCTCTCTCTCTTGCACTGGACTGATGTGTGGATGAGTAATATGGCCTCCAGCAGAAAATCAACTAAGAATGAAGTGTGGGTTAGGGACAGTCATCTATCTTTCACTTTCACAGATAACATGTCTATCTGGCGACCAACTTCACACTCCCCTGCACATGTGGCTGCGCATGCACACACAGACACACAATGGCATCCAATATCAGCTAATTGGGTAATCCTTTTAGAGCATTGTAAAGGAGATTGAGCATGAATGGGGCTTCAGTGGTGAAGTGCAGAATACCAGACACTCATTAGTGCCCCAGAGTGAAGGAGATGGAGTACCAGGCACAGAGTGAGGAGCACGGGCAGAAAGAGTAAGAGACAGAGATGGAGAGTCAGGGAGGGTGAGAGACATTTGTATTCTGTGCAGCTAAACTTGTATTATATATTGATTACTGCTGCCCAGCATACAGTCAATGTTTCCTCTGTTCAGGGTGCGCAGAAAGACTCAATCCTAAGCCAGCGAGTAAACATTTATAACTCATTATTTTGATCTCAGCATGTTCTGCTGCAGGCGTATAACTGAATCTTTGATAAGGGGCCAGCTTTCAGTGAAGGACCCTCCTGTTGAAATTAGATTGCATTCAAACACCGTTATGTGCATCCAGATGAGACATTAGGTCGTCTAAACGATCGACCTCCTCGGGTGTTAATAGATAAGGAGGATCTGTGAATCACCGGCCAAATTTGTGTGGCTGACGAAGTAGAGCTTCTAAAGTGCATATATTTGCATAACCTTGTCAGTTAGGATAAAGCTGAAAATGCATTTTAATGGAGCCTAAATGAGAGCATTTAGCACTACAAGAATGGGAAGGAATGTAGAGAAGTACATGAAGTCCTGAAGTAAAAAAAAAAAAAAATCTGAAAGGTTTTAAAGTTTTGAAGTAATGCATCTGCCGCTACAAAATATATTATTACATCAGGCCTCCTGAGGGTAATTTACAGTTATACAATGCACTAGATGTCCTAAATGGTTATGAATAGATGTATTTCTCTGGTTTGCTTCAGCGGTTCAAGGTCAGCCTGCTGTCATAAAATATTTACTTATTGAGCGTTTCTTCCATCTGAGAAAAGTTGTTGCAGAAGCACTATATCAATAAGCCTTATTTTTAGACATTCTGGAGTATTCTTCATGCATTAACCATGAATATATACTGTTTTCCATTACTTCTATGAAATAAAAAGGGCTATGGACACACTGAAGGCCACATTTCATAGCTTTATGCAATCTCTGAGTATGTCCGTGATAGAGACTACTGAATAACTGTCACTGAAATGCTCACTAAAAATAATTTTGGAGGGTTTGGGATATTAATAACAAAATTGGTTGCAGTTTAAGATAAGATTTTAAGTGATATTGGTTCTGTCAATTTCTATTGTTATTTTCAGCTGTATAGTAGTTATATGTAAGGGTTTGTACGACTAAAAGTTCAAAATGTTGTGGCTGTAAAAAGTTCACAAATTTAAGTTAGCATCCAGCTTTAGCTAGTTTAGCAACAGTAATAATTGCTAGCAAGACTAACTTCTCAATCCTGCCCAAGTTGATTTTAATGAACAACTAATCTAAGTTGTTGTCAAATGAATTACAAGCCATAATAGATTTGCTAACTTAAGTAAATTTTCAAAAATATTCGATGCCTTCATTAGTTTAGCTGCAATGATCATGCTATAGAAGAGAGAGGTGAGCTTCATAACCATGGGGTGTTTGTTAGTGAATGGCAGATTATAATTCTCACAGTTTGTTTATTTTGTACGTTAGGACAAACTGGATGAGCAAAATTAGCTGCCTGTGCATGCGTGGAAAAACGTTGCATCCACGCGTTCAAGTGCGAAACCCCACGTCTAAACACTAACTATTAAACTAATTATTTTAACAAAAATAATGAATGACTTCAATCCAACCAAATTAAATACTTTCAAATTTACACAGACTATGTTTTGTTTAAACTCAAAGTTTTTCTTATCAGTCTTGCGCTGCAGCCAGTTATGCTTATAATAATGCAATAATAAGTTTTAATTTACATTTTTTTCCCAATCACAAGTAAATGAAGTATTTTTTTTGTAATCTATAAACTTTTATATGTTGGCATTTATCTGACAATCATAAAGCCCTCTCTCTGCTTATTAAAATTTACTTCATTAAATACTGCTGTATCCCAGAATGGTGATATTCATAATGTGGTGGAAAAGAAGAAATAATGATTTTTCTGGCATTGGGACCCTCTGACCTGCAAGCTGCTGACTCTGATAAGGTTGTCATTCTTT